GACTATTCCTTATGGTCTTAATAGCCATTATTTATAAAGAAAAAATTGCTGTTTTTTAAGATATCTCTAGTAATTATACCTCGGAGAAGGCAATGGCCCACTCCAGTACTCTTGCCTGGAAAATCACGTGGGCGGAGGAGCCTGGTGGGCTGCAGTCCATGGGGTCGCTAGGAGTCGGACACGACTGAAGCAACTTAGCAGCAGTAGTAGCAGCAGTAATTATATCTACAAGAAAAAAAAACATTTAGCAGTGTTTTTCTCTTTGTGGTGGATTTAGGGAAGTTTATTGTTTACTTAGAGTGGAAGGAGAAGAGGGTGTCAGCGATGGCAATGGACATGAACTTGGGCAAACTTTGGGAGATGGTGAGGGATAGGGAGGCCTGGTGTGCTGCAGTCTATGGGGTTGCAAGAGTCAGACATGACTGGGTGGCTGAACAATAACATTGTTTGCTTATAGTTTATCCATCTTTATTCTCCAATTTTCACATAAAGAGGATAATCAAGAAAAGAAATTATTTTGAAAGAAATAACAGCAGATTGATCCATTTTCTACCTGACATAGAACTACACAAGAACCATGGATTCCAGAAATAACAAGCTTGTTTTTTTTACTCAATGGCACATCTTTAAGGTCAAACTCCCAGAGTTTGTTCCCTCCCTTACAAAACAGCATGAGTGGGAATTTGGTTTTCCTTTTTGGGTAAAGTTTCTACAAAGCTCGCTGATAAAGCTCTTTAGTTTTACTTTCTGCAAAACAATTATTTCTGGAGCTAAACTGAGATGAATCTGATAATGGGTCTCAATTCTTCAACTTTAAAGCATTTAAAAACTAGGGTCATAAAGACATGGAATCCTGAAATACTCTCCCAAGTACAGTCCCATCAAGCTAAGACAGCCCTTGGAAACACACTCGCTGAAACTCACAGTTTGCACATGCATCTTCTCCAGTTTGGCCATTTTGACCTTCTGTTCAAGCCACAGAAACCTGAAGAAGGGAAAGGGAGATTTTTTGGCTAATTTTCACATAAGTCTTGAAAAATAATTTTCTTTTAGGGAGGTGTCTCTTGGAATTAAAAAAAAAAAACCTCAAGTGATAAGTTTTTTAGAAAGTAATCTGGGTGAGACATATAAAACTGGCCAATTTAAAGTCATTCCAGGCACTTCCCTGGTGGTCCAAAGGTTCAGTTCCTGGTGTGGGAACCAAGATCCCACATTCCACAGAGCAACTGAGCCTGCATGCCACGAACTAGAGAATCCGTGCACCACCACGAAAGATCCTGTGTGGTGTGACAAAGATCCCAAGTGTTGTGGCTAAGACCCGTGGCTACTTGTCTAAATAAGTAGATAAAAATAAAGTCATTTCAAAGCACACTAGCTTCTAGCTCTGTCTGAAAAGCCAGCACCAATGCATTCCACTGGGGGGAAAAAAAACCAGATGCCTCTAAAATAATCTATCAGTGGAAAGCCTTGATGTAGAGGTAATTGACCTCAGTGCAATTCAAACTCTAAGTATTGAGTATGCTTGTGTGTGTGCTCAGTCATGTCCAACTGTTTGTGACCCTATGGACTGTAGCCCAATTACTGTCCATGGAATTTTCCAGGCAAGAATACCAGAGTGGGTTGCCATTTGTTACTCCAGGGGATCCTTCCAACCAGGGCTTGAACCCACATCTCTTGAGTCTCCTGCATTGGCAGGTGGATTCTTTATCACTGCGCCACCTGGGAAGCTCATGTGCTTGATGCATAAACAGATGGGAGTTCCTCTAACAGCTCCCCTCCCCCCTCCCACCATTCACTTTCCCCCTGATATCACACAGGATCAGCCTTGATGGAAATCACACCATAACTCGAATGTTCTCTCTGTGTTTTCGATTCCAGCTATGAAAGTTCAGGATGAGCTGGAAAATGTAAGCCTCCTTTAAAGCGCACAAGAAATCTATTGGCACAGAATAAAAGCTGTACTGTTTATTAGGGTTTTGGAAGTAGCCGTTGTACTTAGTTCTCTCAGCTTTGCTTTTTTTTTTTTTTAATGAGGACAGTTCTTCACACAAATGCCAAACTAAGGCAAAAGAAAACTTTCTCAGTCTTTATGGTGCTTTCATCAGATAACCAGTATAAAATATCTTCCAGAATACTCTGTCTCCTCAGACTTTAGAGTTTGTTCTTGGGAAGTTAGAGGTAAACAAGGATGGCCTTAATAAATCTAGCTAACATTGTAAATACACAGTTTCTGGTTCTTTTTCCTCTTGGGGCAATAGGCCAGATATCACTAACAATTCAAATATTCTGGCCTTTCTCAAAAATGTCACTGCATCAAGAGTATCATGGCTGAGGAAATCATGGGAGAAAATTAGGATGCTTTTTACTGGTGTTCCGTAATTAAAAATCAACTGCCTTCTGGGGAAACCTGTATAACACACCTTTGATTGGGTGTTGAATTTGGACTAAAAAAAAAAGTCTCTCAAAGAGGGAAATGTTCGCCTTCTAAAGAGTGAAATTCCAAGAAGGGCATTTCAACCTGACTTTGGCCGTCATTAGCCAAGAAGCATGGAAGAGCTGTGTTTGGGGCAGGGACTGTTTAGAGAGGTTTTGTTTGTCTGTTTATTGAGGGTTTGGGGGGCGTTTGCTTTTCCTGCACTGTCATTGTGTGTGTGCTCAGTCGCTCCGTCGTACCCCATGGACTTCAGATTCCTCTGTCCATGGGATTCTCCAGGCAGGAATACTAGACTGGGTTGCAATTTCCTCCTCCAGGAGGTCTTCCTGGCCCAGGGATTCAACCCAAGTCTTCTGCATTGGCAGGGGGGTTCTTTACCACTGACCACCTGGAAGGCCCATACTGTCATTACATCTTTACAGTAGTTTGCCAGTGTTGCCAGAACAAAGTACCATGGGCTGGATGGCTTAAACAAATAAAGGTGTGTTCTCAGAATTACGGAGATTCGTAGTCAAGGTGTCGGCAGGGTTGGTTTCTTCTGAAGCCTCTCTCCTTGACTTGTGGACGGCCGTCTTCTCTCTGCGTCATCACATGGCCTCTGCATCCTCGTCTCCTCTTCTTGTGAGGACACCTGTCAGATTGGTTTAGAGTCCATACTAATGACCTCAGATTTAACTTAAGTACCTCTTTAAAGATCCTGCCTCATAATACAGTCACATTCTGAGGTACCAGCGATTAGGACTTCAACATTTGAATTTGGGAAGAACACAGTACAGCTCATAACAACTCTGGTTCAGGGTCTTCCTATCAAATCTCTAAGACCTTTCCTTCATAATGGCCAGGAAGGGACAGTAAGAAGGTAGGAAGGTATTCATGAATTTTCCACAAGACCTGGCTTGCTTCTGAAGCAACCTTTTTTTTTTTTCCCACCTTCTTCAAGATGGAAGAATTTTAAAAGTCTACTGACTTTGAAAGCATCATGTTAAGTAAAATATGTTTGAGAAAGAAATTCTGTGTGATCTCACTTACATGTGGAATCTAAACAAACAAAAACCCACCTAGACTCATAGAAAAAAGAGTTGATTTGTGGTTACCAGAAGTAGGGGCTATGGGGCAGGGGGGTCAGAGGAAGATAGTCATAAGGTATAAACCCCCAGTTACAAATAAATCTTAGGATGAATTACAACATGATGACTGTAGTTAACACTGCTGTGTGATCTGTAGGAAAGCTGTTAAGAGAACAGACCTTTGGCGTTCTCATTGCAGGGATAAACGTTTTTTCTTCCTTTTCTTTTTATTGTATCTATATCAGATGGTGGATATTAATTAACTAAACCTATTATAGTAATCACTTCACAGTATATGTAAATCAAATCATTGCACTGGTTTGATTTGCATATATTTACACCCTAACCCTAAAGGAAATCAGTCCTGCGTGTTCATTGGAAGGACTGATGTTGAAGCTGAAACTCCAATATTTTGGCCACCTGATGCGAAGAGCTGACTCATTTGAAAAGACCCTGATACTGGGAAAGATTGAAGGCAGGAGGAGAAGGGGATGACAGAGGATGAGATGGTTGGATGACATCACCGACTCAATGGACATGGGTTTGGGTGGACTTCGGGAGTTGGTGATGGACAGGGAGGCCTGGTGTGCTGCGGTTCATGGGTCGCAAAGAGTTAGACACAACTGAGCAACTGAACTGAACTGAACACCTTAAACTTATACAGTGATGTAGATCAATTATTTCTCAATTAAGCAGAAGAAATAAAAGCCCACTGAGAACTTTAAGAACATTTTGCTTTCTTTCCCTGTATTTCTGTTTCTCCCAAAGAAAAATATTCCTCTGTCCACCTGCAGATCTCAAATGGAAAGTGTTTTGCTTGCATTTATATCACTGATACGTGATAGGAAAGAGCTGGTCAGTGAATCTTGTCATTCAGAGACTTTTAAACTGGCAGAAACCTTGGAGATCACTTACTGGGTTGGCCAAAAAGTTCCTTTGGGCTTTTCCCGTAACATCTTAGTCTTTTGGACCAGCCCGACATAAATATCGTAAGCCATCACTTTCTTACAAAGAACCTCAGTGAAAGAATTCCATTTTTTTTGCATGGGTTATTGTAATTATGGTAAAAACCAAGGACTGTCCCTCCCTCACATCACAGGACTAGGAAGATATCCGTTTACTAACCTCTACCTATCCCGATTTTAGGTGTGTGTTATTCTGATCATTCCATTAGGTGATATATCTATGTGCTCCATTAGAAAATATAACTTGATCTGCACTCAATTTCACTGTGTTGCATTCAGAAGTCTTCAAAACAGGGGCCATACTTTATGGCTGGATATTTTTCCATTCCTACAAAAGCAGTATTAATAATGTAAGAAATCCATGCAATTTTCATACTTCAGAGAGTGAAAATACAGCATGACCATAAGGAAAAAAAAAAAATCCTCTCTATTCTGAAAGCCCCTGACAAATGCTGAGTCCTGCTTAGGTCAGCGTGAATGGAGGTGCAATGTTTCTGTCTGTCCTCAGTAACAGTGCTCCATGTTTGCTTACAGAACGACGTGGCTGCACTTCTGAAACCAATATCGGAAAAGATTCAGGAGATCCAGACTTTCAGAGAGAGGAACCGGGGGAGTACGATGTTTAATCATCTCTCAGCCGTCAGCGAAAGCATTCCCGCCCTTGGGTGGATAGCCGTGGTGAGTCTGGCTGGAATGTCGCCCTGCGCCTCGGCGAGTTTTTGGAGTGTTTGGGAAAACTTGTGGCCACCTCCAGCTTCCTTCATCCTTCATCCTTCAGTGAAAGGAAGGTTCCTTTCAGGCTGAACACAGCAGCTCTTTCTTACCCCCACTTGAAGTTCAGGGCTTTGTGTTCTGAGATGCAGGAAGCATTTCACCGATCCTTACAGAACAAAATTTGCCTCCAGTTTTCCAGTTGACATCTCCATTGCTTCTCTTCTTCTTTAAGGCATTTTCTTTCTTATCCTATATTTTTTTTCTTTCTATGCTTGGGTGATGGCCCTCTTCTCTCAGTCCCCCAAACCTGGTCCTTATGTCAAGGAGATGAACGACGCGGCCACCTTTTACACTAACAGGGTCTTAAAGGACTACAAACACAGGTATGTACCTTCTTTTACTGACCAAATCTTCAATTGATTGTTTGTTAAACATTTGTCCCCAGACTTCATACTGTTCATTACTGATTCCTTTCAAAGGCTAATTGACTATAAACATTAAGGAAAAATCCCATCTTTGTAGATGAAGCAAAGTAGAAAGTGAAATCAATGATTCAGATAATATGTGTGTTTTAGAAAGTCTTGCCTCAATTCTCTGGTGATGAGTAAACTCTCGCCACAGGAATGCATGTCACTCTGTTACCTATCCCCACAATAAGGAGAGGTTTGTGATGGACCAGCCCTAAATGGACAAAACTTGAGTGAGTGTTAGTCACTCAGTAGTGTCTGACTGGGGCCTGCCAGGCTCCTCTGTCCATGAGATTCCTGAAGCAAGAATACTGGAGTGGGTTGCCATTTCCTCCTCCAGGGGATGATCTTGCCAACCTAGGGATCAAACCCTGGTCTGTTGCATTGCAGGTGGATTCTTTTACCATCTGAGCCACGAGGGAAGCCCACTGATCAAAATAGAGTTGGTGATGAGCAGAGAGAAGACAGGGGATTTCAGGAAAGGAACTAGAAGTGAGGAACAGAAGTGAGATGAGACAATAAACCAGGTCAGTGAGAGGGAGACCAGAGCTTGCATTCAGGTGAAATGCAGTTGGGTGGACAGAGACATCCGTAAGAACAGCCACCATCCAGAAAGCTGTTGAAAATTCACAGATGAGGCTGAATCAGCAGGTTTTGCCTGGAGAGTGAGTGTAAAAGGACATGCAGTCTCCAGCACAAATAACAGGTCCTAGAGAGCCTCAGACTGGGGCTAGAATTGGAAATGGGACTGAGTGAGGAAAAATATAAAGAAATGTCAACTGGGATTTTCCTGGTGGTCCAGTGGCTAAGATTCTGTGCTCCCAGTTCAGGAGGCCCAGGTTCAATCCCTGGTCAGGGAACTAGATCCCACATGCTGCAGTTAAGACCTGGCATGGCCAAAATAAATAAGTAAATAATTCTTTTTTTAAAAAGAAATACCAAAAAAAAAAAAGAAAAGAAATACCTACCAATACATTTTTTACTACAAAAAAAAAAAAAAAAAAACCAGTCACACTCAGCAATCCCACTCCTAGATGTATTTCCTTTTTTTTTTTTCCCTAGATGTATTTTCAAAAGAAATGAAACCATAGGTCCACACAAAAGCATGTACATAATTTCGTAGCAGCATTATTTATAGTAGGCAAAATGTGGAAAGAATCCAAACGTCCATCAACTGATGAATAGATAAGTAAAATGTGTATCCATACAAGGTTATATTATTCATTCATTTAAAAAAATAAGTAGCAGTATGGATGAGCCTTGAAAACATGCTGAGTGAAAGAAGTCAGACACAAAAGACCACATATTGTATGATTCCATTTATATAAAATTCCAGAATTGGCAAATCCATAAAAACAGAAAGTAGATTAGCAGTTGTCTAGGGCTGGGGAAATTGGGTAGAAATGTGGAGTAACTGCTAATGAGTATCGGGTTTCTTTGGGGGGTGATGAAAATGTTTTAAAACTGACTGTGGTAATGATTGCACAGTTCAAACTGAGCTATTGAATTGTATGCCTTGAATGGATGAATTGCCTAGGATATGAGTTATATCCCAGAAAGCTACGATACTAAACAGAATAAGACAAAAAGCAACCAAAAGTACTCTCCTCCTCTCATAGAGTTTAGTTACTCTGTGTTAGCTCTTCCAGGAAGAGCAGCTCTAGAGACTTCTGACTTCAACACACCTTTTTTCCCTCCTGAGGTCTCTCCCACCCTAAGGAAGTTTCACTTAAGCTCTGATTCTCAGTAACAGACTCCCTGCACCCATAGAACTGTGGCTGAGGCAGTCCTGCCCTGATACAACTCCAAATGTAGCCGATTTGTGTTAGAGACTACAGAACTGTGCAGTATGAATGAGAACAGGCGTCAGAAATGCAAGACAATCTGCCCGCATAAAAATAGCAGTTCAGGAAAGAACAAGTTTAAGTTGCAAAAGTATGTCAGCATTAACAGCGCACAGTGACTTCCACACCGTAAAAGACCTCTTTACCTAGTCCCTTCTTGGGATGTACAGACACACACCTGTACCTGCCTATTCAGGACACCTTAGCCACCTCCTGAGCCTCTGCCTTTTTGCTCATCACCCTTGGAAGCCACTTTTGTTTTTATCTCAGTTCATCAGCTCCTGTCCTCCCAGTCCCTGCTTGAGTGTGTCTTGGGGGCCATGGTGTGAGTGATTCTCTCCAGGTGTCGTACAGCCGAGAGAGTTAAGAGTTTACCCTTTTTTGTGCACAAACAAAGAAAGTCTAGTATTTGTTCGTCTTGGTCAGCTATTAGGTAGAAAAACTACTCCTGACAGCATCAAGGACAATCCATTTAAACTTAATGGACCACCCAAAGACTGTGTAGTGTGCTGGGGAAATGCATTCAGTCCTAAGTCACCATGGAGCTTCCAAGAGTGCCAACCTGAACAAAGCAGAATACTCCACAACTGCTCACTCACACCCATTTATGTGCACACCCAAGCCAGCCGTGTATGCACTTTCTGTGGGCTCAGTGAGGGCTGCGGGGTGTTGCAGGCTCACTGATGAGGTATCAGCAGTGTGGCAGGCTCGCTGCTGCCTGCCTGACAGACAGGCCGTGGGTGGAGGAGTAGAAAGGCAGGCTTCCTTGTGGTTTACACAGAAGGGCTGTGGGCAGTGGACTCTGCATCTGTGGAGCCTTTTCAGCTGGCTTGACTGGCTGCTCAGCTCTTTTGGCAATAAATGAAAAGAGCAAGTTAATTATTTTGACTTTCCAGAGGTAAAACTTCTCTGAGTCATAGTCATGAAAAGTCACCCGTCCCTCTCATAGCTTCGTCCAGGGGAAGTGGAACTGAGGCTGAGCTGTCAGCTCCGGAAGTATAGTTAAGTCCTCCTCAATTTGTTGTCTCTAAGACAAGGGCTTCCCTGGTGGCACAGATGGTAAAGAATCCGCCTACAGTGTGGGAGACCTGGATTCAATCCCTGATTTGGGAAGATGCCCTGGAGAAGGGAAAGGCTACCAACTCCAGTATTCTTGCCTGGAGAATCCCCATGGACAGAGGAGTCTGGTGGGCTACAGTCCATAGAGTCACAAAGGATTGGACACAACTAAGCACAGAGTCTGCCTTTGGGTTAGAAGGGACCATGTTGTTATTCCTTACTACACATTTAGCTAGAACTTTCTTCAAGTTAAATGGTACTATAATAGTTAAAAGAAAAGTAATTTGCCTATGCAGGTTTGGACTTCATGTGTTAAGCTTTTTAATAGAAGTATGTTGAATGTGCAACCTGCTTTTTCTAGAATGCCTACAGACTGTATTGTGCATACATACATACATATGCACATGTATGAATTAAATGACCATATAATAGATAAATATGTGGATTTTGGGTTTTGACTATAAAATTGAGAGAAAGTGACAGAGAAACATTTCATAGATTTGATTAATGTAGTCAGTAAATCTAAAAATGTGGAACAAAATCATTCATGTTTTTCCTTTTTGAGGGGCAGATAGTTATGAGTTCAGTTCCCCATTTTCTTTTTCTTAAATGGCATGACTTAATATGCTGGAGTTCTAAACATGCTCATGGCACTTAGAACTTTTCAAGGAAAGCAAAATATATCCACAGACAAATCATTATTGACAAAGGCAAAATAATAGAGATTTCCTTCCAATATTGTCTTCAGATTAATGGCCCAGGTTTGTGATTAAATTTTTGTTAACAGATTTCATCATTTTCTCATTTACCACTACTTTATTCAAAGTAGAAAAAAATGTGTGGTTGGAAATTATCCAAAGGAAATGCAACTATTTTTGCCTGTTTATATCATAAATTTAATGTTTCTAACAGTTCTACCAATTGTATATGTTAATCTAGTTTTAAAAGGTAAGTATTTTACCACTTCTTGGTTAAGTAAAATAGGAATAAAAATACTGGCCGTGCCCTGCCTTGCTTTCATTGTCATTATGAGTATCAACTTAGGTTAATCTAAGTGATTGTCCCTTTACAATTATTGAGTGTTACCTATTTGTAGGAAATCATTTTTCTTACTATAGCAACTTTCCTTATCAGTGCAAAATTCTCCAATTTGGTTACACTTTCAATCAAAAAATTCCACAAATTATTAGAAAACAAGCCAAAGGACCTTTTTTCTTTTTAGTACCATTCTCCTGCCTGAAAGCACATTGTTTTTCATTTTGCATCAGAAGCAGTACAGAAAGAAACGATCTCCCCTCTGTGTTCATCTCCCCGTGAGAGATGACATGAGGATGAACTGACTGGGTTCTGTGGGTGCTCTCTCCGCGGGCCTCTCTGCTCCACACCAGACCTCAGGCACTCGGCTCCTCCCAGGGCAGACCTGGACCATATCCTTTCGAGGTTCTTTTCAGACTCAGTTCACAGTTACTGGACTAGAAAGACCGTTGTTCCAGAGTCATCTGGAGCTCTAGTTATTGGATTGCCACGTGCCTTCCAGTGTTGTTAAATTTTTATTTTAGATCCTAATTCCCCTCTCTTCCACTCTATTTTATGACAAAGTGATCTACGTCATGTGGATTGGGTGAAGTCTTATCTGAACATTTGGAGCGAGCTTCAAGCATACATCAAGGAACACCACACCACAGGCCTTACTTGGAGCAAAACAGTAAGTACCCAGCACTGTTCCCCCTGGGTAACAAAAGGTTATGAAGATATTCATTCTCAGTAGCCTGGTAATTTTAGGATTTACCTCAAGGAAAACATAAGATAAAATACACATGTAGAAGCTGCTTATAAAAAATGCCATTGGCATAGGAAAGTCTGGAAACTGCCTGCATGACAGACAAAAAGAAAATGGTTGAGTTGTCAGTCGTAAGAACCTAGTGGAATGTTCTGCAGACATCAGAATAACAGATGTGGTGATTACAGGTGATGAGATGTACCAGTCATGGTTGAGTAATAGAGTGCAAAAGTTAATGAGCTCTAAGATGGCATGTTTATTAAGAAACTGTGTAAGTAAAATTGAAGGAAACAAGATTTTAAAATAGTTGTAATTTTAAGCAGATAGAATTATGAATATAATTTTTTAATGTTTTAAGTTTTCTTTTGGCATATTAAAGTTTACTAAGTAGTATTTTTCAATACTTAGGCAATCCTAGTGATTTGAATGGTACCCTAGTCCTAGGATAAAACCCCAACCTGAGTCTGTTCCAGCTTGAATTCCCACAGAAGATTCTGATTTTATATTTGCCCTCTTCACCTTGTCTGTCTTGTCTTCCCCTCTCACTGATCCAGTGCTACCAACTACCTGCAGAATTCTGAATATGTGCAATGCTTAAATTGAACCAAATCACACTGTTGTTTTTCAAATTTTGCAAGTCTCACGTTTAACCTTATTTGCAATGTCCTGAATATCTATGGTATCAGCATTAGTGGTTCAGTGGCAGAATCCTCGCCTGCCATGGGGGAGGCCTGCTTTGATTCCCAGCCAATGGAAGAGCACACAAGTTTTAGATCTTCCCAGGTGGCACCGTGGTAAAGAACCTGCCTGCCGATGCAGGAGACATAAGAGACATGGGTGCAGCCCCTGGATTGGGAAGGTCCCCTGAAGGAGGGCACAGCAACCTCCTCCAGTGTTCTTGCCTGGAGAGTCCCGTAGACAGAGGAGCCCTGCTGTCCACAGGGTCGCAAAGAGTCGAACATAGCTGTAGCTACTTAGCATGAACATGTATCATGTGCTATGACCTAAGTTCCCGGGGGAACTCTCTTCTCTAAGACTGAGTTCAAACATCACCTCTTTAAGAAACTTCATTGATCTCCATTGGCACCCTGTCTGGGTTGGTGATCTTCCTCTATGCCTACTGCACATCTTGAACATACCTCAGGCATAGTCTGTAGCATATAGAATTGTAAAAATTTATGTTTTTAGATCTCTCCCACTGGATTGAAAACATCTGTGTCTCCAGGTCCTCACATAGTGCCTGGCATGGAGTAGGTACTCAGTAAATAGTTTGGACTAAATTGTGACTTAGGAGACTCTTAAGATCTTCCCTGCTCTTTAAAACCTCTGCACTTATTATGAAAAGGCTTCCTGTGGGAACTTCCTTCCATTTGAAATGAATGTTAGGGACTTCCATGGTGGTCCAGTGGTAAGACTCTGCACGCCTAATGAAAGGGGCCCGGGTTCGATCCCTGGTCAGAGAATTAGATCCCACATGCTGCAACTAAGAGTTCACATGCCACAACTAAAACCTGATACAAATAAAAAATAATAAATATATAATGTTTTTAATTTTTAGAAAAGAAAGAAAAAGAGAAAATGAATGTTAGCTTTCAGTTGTCTAACCAGAATAAATGTTGAGAAGATAAAGTGGCACATTTGTGAATCCAGTTTAGAGGTAGAATGCTCACTCTCCCCATAGTCATAACCAGCAACTAATCCTCATGCTGAATGTTGATGTCAGTAACATAGGATTAATACCTAGAGAGAGTTTGTGATTTTTCAAGGGAGTGTGGAACTCCTGTATTTGTTCCCCAACACTTGACCTCTAATAACTGATGCTTCTTTTTATATCCTACTTGGCCTGTTTTCTCCATAAGAAATGCAAGATATTGAATATTGGTTATTTTTCTTCTGCCCACAATATTTTGATTTCTGTGAAGAGAGTTCAGAAACATTTGAAGAGTTTTAATTTGGATGAGTATATGTGGTAGGTTAGTCTTTGTAAAGATTAATTAGAATTATTTTTCATAATTTCCAATGAAATGCTGTTTGGTTACACATCAGTTTGTCATAAAAGGGAATTGTCACTTGTTTGCCATGGAGATAGGACGTCATGAGAGAACAGAAAACTAAATATCAAGAGTCCTTGGATGTCTTATTATTTCATAGTTAGATAAATGGAAAAGGAATGAGAATCCATTTGTGGAAAATAATTGTGTCAACAAATGCTGGCCTATTAATTCTCTAATAGTGCTCATGGAAATGAATGGAAAATTACTTTTTAAATGGTTTGAATACCTCTAATGCAATGTAAAAAGCTGAGTAATTGTGCTTTGAATATAAAAGAGAAGGATCGACTGTTACAGAAAAGTAAATGTGGTTGTTTTCCTTTGTTCCAGAGTAAATACCTATCTTTACATTATGTTCTTTAGAAATATATACTTTGTAACAATGAGCTTGAAACTTTTAAAGGCACCCCATAGTAAGAAATACCTTTTAGACACACACCTCCCCCCCATAATGCTACAAGTCTCACAAAACATTTTGTCTTACCAAGTGGAATGCATTCAGATATTTTCTTTTGTGTTTTACTTTCTTTTTTAAATAAAATCCTGGCTGAGATCCACAAATTGACATCATGATCAATTTGAAAAACGTGTTATGGAACAAAATGTTGTATTTATATAAGTATAAATACTTATTTTGTTGTTGTTCAGTCACTCAGTTGTGTCCAACTCTTTGCAACCCCATGGACTGCAGAATGCCAGGCTTCTCTGTCCATCACTGTCTCCCAGAGTTTGCTCAGACTCATGCCCATTGACTCAGTGATGCCATCCAACCATCTCCTTCTCCTCCTGCCTTCAGTCTTTCCCAGCATCAGGGCTTTTCCAGTGAGTTGGCTCTTTGTATCAAGTGGCCAAAGTATTGGAGCTTCAGGTTCAGCATCAGTCCTTCCAATGGATGTTCAGGGTTGATTTCCTTTAGGAATTGACTGGTTTGATCTCCTTGCAGTCCAAGGGGCTTTCAAGAGTCTTCTCTAGCACCACAGTTCAAAAGCATCAATTCTTTGGTACTCAGCCTTCTTTATGGTCCAGCTCTCACATCCAAATATTTATTTATTTATATAAAATATAATCCTTAGTGCATACATTAGGAGACATGGATTGCCATAATAATAGTGACAGCTGTTATTTATTGACCATAAGTTATGATATGGGCAAATTCTATTTAAAATGGTGACTGTTATAAAGCAGAGCAGCTGCTTCACTTCTTTCATGAAAATATTGTATGATAAAGTTTTGACCAGATACTAAAAGTGAGGAAAGAATGTATAAGAGAATGTTGGCTCAGCAGTCACATCATATGTGCAAAATCTTTAGACAAACTAAGATATTGCATAGAAATATACTTCCTATTATTTTTGCCCTCTTCTAAAAGTTGAGGTTAAAAAAACTATTACAAAGTATATTATAAAAATTATAGTTTTTAATTTTAAATCTAAATTGTTAAAAATCACCTAAAAGGTTCTAAAACATAATCCCTAGCATAGATCAAATTAATTTCTTCTCATTTACTATGGCCTGGTGACTTACCAGAAAAGTAAATCAAAAACAATTATAGCCAGTATCACAACATTCTTTTTATTTTTATATCTTTTTCAGTTATCTGTTTTAAATGTAGCAGTGTGTATGTGTCAATACCAAACTCCCAGTCTATCTCTTTCCCTCCACCCTTCCTCCCTGGTCACCAACCATGAGTTCATTCTCTGAGTATCACACCTTTCTTGCAAACAGGAAGGAAAAGGCTATTAGAATTATCTGATTAAATAGTCTTTGGGAGGAAAAAATGAGTAAAAATAATTTCTTTTATTTGCCCACTGATCACAACTCTGCAAAAATATGTATTTCTAAAACAATAAGGATCAGAGAGAATGCAGAAAGGTGGGGTGTTGACCTTCATTGACACTACAATATTCAGAAGTTTTAAGGAATCCATTCCATCTCAGTGAGCAAAGTCGAAAGGCTTATGGTTATGAACATCTCAAGTATTTTGAGGAACCGCCCGTTTCTTCTGTTTTCAGATTGGCCCTTGAGGTTTGAGCTCTGTGGGGTTTGAGTGACCAACAACACGCTGCTCTGGGCTGTTTCTAAGTGTACATTACTCTGAGAAATCTTTCCCTTGAGTTAACAGTTGGAACTGAACATACTGCTTCCACCATCCAGCCTTTGCATTCAGACTGCAGCTGTGCCAGACAACTGTTGCTCCCTTCAGTTGTCCCACAAAATATAAATCTTTGAGGCCAGCGGTCTTTCGGGACCGTGATTGGAGAGAAGGTCCATGTGTGTGTGCACGAGTGTGTTGGCATCAGGATGGGTGTGTTTGAGGGGAAGAAGCAGCTGTTTAGTAATGTATCTGGAATTTCTTGTTACATTTACTGCGGTAAATGGAATCTTCTCGTTCTGTAAGCATTTCTTCACATGACCATGGACTAGAAAAACCCTACACCAGAAACGACTTGCAGTTTTCAGTTAGTTTAATTATTGGGAACTCTTTCTCCATATTCATTTAGTCTCCTCAGCACTGGGTTTCAAATGCACTTTGTTGAATAAATTGATCTTTTGGCAGGAACCCTGTTGAGACACTGTTATATATTATCCTGTGCAGTTGGTCAGATTTGTAATATTGGTTGGCAGTTCCTACAAACCAGATAAGCTAAAAGAAGGCAGACCTAATCTTTACACTTATAATGACCAAAATAACTGATTCTTTCCATGAATTGTCCAGATCAGCGTTCCAGCTTTTATTCTGTTCTCTGTAGATCTAGCCAGGAAAAGGTCATGAAAGGAATTCTATGAATAGGATATAGCATGGTTGTTTTCTTAACCTTCTGGTGTGAAATTTGTTGACATATTTTTGTCCTTTTATGTGTCTTTTCAAATTAG